AGCTATTGTCGGGCGTCTGTAAGCATGCCTATGTTCCAGGACCTGGCGCAGTGTGAATATTTGGTCGATACATCCACGGCCAGGTCTAAAGCCTGCCTGGTTTTCTCGGGCTTGCTGTTCCCGAGCTCCACTCAGGCGTCGGAGAATTATAGAACTTAGGATCTTAGACACTATGTTTGTCAGGCTGATTCCTCTGTGGTTATCACAAGAGGACTTCTCGCCTTTCTTGAAGACTGGGATGATCAGTGACTTAGACCAGTCGGAGGGGATCGTATTTGATTCCCATATACTGGCTAACACTTCCGTTAGCCTGACTAAGAGAACTCTACCACCATTCTTGTATACCTCAGCAGGTAGTCCGTCTGGTCCTGCTGCCCTTCCCCGTTTCAGGCTACCTACCGCTTTCTCAACTTCTTCTAGTGTTGGGGGACCTGTCTCTATGTCCCATTCAGGGTCCGACTGGATAGCGGGCAGCGCAATGGTGGCTGGAGGCCAGTTAAACTGTTCCTCAAAGTGTTCTGCCCATCGTCCCAGTCGCCTTCCCTGCGAGTGAATCGCCGATCCGTCCTTCTCCGCTATAACCTCACTAACTGTTGTTGACCATTTCCCCCCAGTCTCCTTAATAAGTCTAAATAACTGTCTACTGTTACCGATCGCCGCTGCCTTTTCCATCTCTTTAGCCTTTGCTGCCCACCACTGTTCACGATCGTTGCGCAGACTTTTCGTCAGTTTATTTTTAAGTTGCGCTCGCTCTTCATTGTACTCAGAGCCTGCAGGGATGCATTCACGTGCATCCATTAGTTTGGAAGAAGCTGCTGATATCCACTGGCTCTTTTTAGCCATTATCTTGGAGTCGGCTACAGTCTCCAGTGCTGCTTTTACAGTAGACTGAAGATGGCACCAAGCTTCTTCTGGATGAGTGACAGTCTTTTGTTCCGATAACTGCCTAGCCAACTTCTCACTGAACACGGCTTTGGTGTTTTCGTTGTCCAGCAGAACTCGTAGTGGTTTTGTTGCCAAATTTTTTCTACGTCCATTGAGACGCAGGCATATACGTGCTCGGACCAACGCATGATCGCTGTCCAAACACGTACTCCAGAAGGAGCGGCAGTCTTCCACCGATCCTCTCCAGCGATGACTAATAGCAATGTGGTCTATCTGTGTCCATCGCTGAGTCGAGCTCGGTGGACGCCAGGTCAGACAGTGCCTTTCTTTATGTCTGAAATTTGTGCTGGCTAAAAATAGGCGGTTATCTGAGCATAGTTGTAATAGGCGATCACCGTTATCTGTACGTTCAGCTGGGATTCCGAAAGTGCCACCTAAGTGCCTTTCTGCCTCACTCAGTCTACCCACCTGTGCGTTGAGGTCACCTGCAACAACCACTACGTCCGAACGTTTGGCTTTCGAGAGGAGGTTAGACAGTTTATGGTAGAACTCGTCCTTCACTTCATCCGAACTACAGTCAGTGGGTGCGTAAGCAGAGATTACAAAGAGACAACGGCGAGTCTCACTATTCCTTTTAGTTCTCACTGTGCCGTTCAGCCTCATAGCGCAGAGGCGACTATCAACTGGGATCCAGTCTAGTAGTGAGTTTTCTGCCCTGGTGCTTAATGCTATACCTACACCTGCAAGACCACGAGAGCTAGCTATCGAATCTCCAGAAACTCGAAGGGTGAATTTTGCAGATTCACCAGATTGGTCAGGAGAGGTCAGGTGAATAACCACACTTGGGTCCTGTATGCGTGTCTCACAAACACAGCACACATCCATGCCCGAGTTGCTAGAGTCTTTGCCAACGAAGCCTGTTGGCCAATTTGACGGAGGGTGCGGACATTGAAGGCTCCAATATGTAATTTGGAGCGTGGTTTAAGGAGACCAGGGACGCTGTTCTGTGGACTCAGATCGTTGTCGAAGGCTGCAGAGGTAGGAGAAATTGAAGATGATGCAGCATCA